CACTCTAAGGGGCTCTGGCGGCCTTCTAGGGTGGTAGCTGCCCTAGAGGAGTGCCATCCCAAGGTACGGGGGCTGGAGGCTGATGATTTACTGACTTTATCACATGGGTCTGGTGTTGCCTAGGAAGGGAGCGTACTGAGCTGTGGAGAGGGGAAGGAATGGACTAAGCTATGGAAAGGGATTCATTTTGCTAATACTGTACAGAGGGGTTACAGTTACATGAGCAAGGTTAAAAAGTCCATTTCCTACACCTGGGTTTTAAAAACACAAGTTGGCCATAATGTTCTGGAATTTCAGTGGCAAAGGCATTTTTCCCCAATGTGTGATAGAACCACATGGTCAATGCCAAAGCAACAAAAGCTTAAAAACAAATACTTTTGCCAACAAAATATTTAATAGAATTTAATAGAATCTCCAGGCTTAAACATGAGCTGCCTGAGCTGGCTTGGAATTGTGGTCCCCCAATCTTAGTCTCCTGAGAAGATGTGAGCCACTATCACAGAGTGCAGAGCCAAGTCCTATCTACCTTTCATCCTTAAATACATTCCTGGAGGTGCTGAGATGGAGTTCCCCAACCTAGCAATCCAGAGGGGAAAATGCTAAGGAGACACAGCTGTTTAATGGCAGCAATGAAACTCTGGCAGGTGTCTTAACTTTCATCTGTGATGTGTAAACCTTTACTGAGTCACCTTCAAACTAGAATTCACCACAAAGGCCCAGCCATCCATAGACAGGGCCTAAGGACCTAATCTTAGCACCAGGCCTTCCTCTGCTCCTATACATACCACCGGGGACGGGGAGATGACTGGTGAAGCCAATGGGCAGAAGGGCGGAGACAGACCACAGAGCCACACGTGATGCGAAGACTTCACCTCCAGCCACACGCTCACTTGCTGTTATCAATTCATAATTCACCTGTTGCACTCTCAACTTTAACCACCTGTAATGGGGCAGATCCATTTTGTCCTCAGTGGTGACGGTTTTATTTAACTTGAAGAGCTTTCCAAAGGGTGGGAAATGTAAGGTAAGAAATGGATGTGTATAATACTCTTAGAGAAAAACCCTCTGTGCCTCTGATCAGACAGAATAATATTTATCAAAATTAACTCCAGGAAATGGAAACAAGAGGTTTCTGTAGCTGTTGTTGTTTTTGTCTTGTATGGTCATTTATCTGTCTTCGGGAGGGTAGACAGTGACACAGAAATGAAGTACAAAGGGTGCTCACTGCACATGATAAGGGAAGTGAACTCTGCAGCTGGTGGGTGGGGGCCGGAGGGAACAACTGGGAGAGAGCACGGGAAGGGGGGACATTGTCCAAGAAGAAATGTACTTATGATCTGACTTACGGCACTGTGGTCTCACCTTTATAGTAACATTAAAAAAAAAAAAAAAAAAAAGGAAGAAATGGATGCCTATACTTGTAGCTACTCGAGGCTGAGAGCTGAGGATCACAGGTCGAAGCCAGCCTGGGCTGGAAAGTCTGTGAGACTCATCTTTAAGGAACCAACAACATTCCAGAAGGGGAGCTGTGCTAAACTAGCAGAATGCTAAGCTTGAGCAGAAAAGCTCGGGGCCAGTGCTTAGGCCCTGAGTTCAAGTCCTAGGACTAGTACATGCACGTGTGTGAACACACACACACACACACAGTTTGCTTAGGAAAACAGAAGTGGTATAAGCAGTGGCTGTGTGGACAAGTCATTGCTTCTGTGGGAAGCAGAGAGGGCACCCCGGGGCCGGCCATCTCCTCTTCCCTGGGAACAAAGGGAGCCGCAAGCCGCAGGAGCACCTATGGAGGAAGTTGGGGAGCAGCCTGTGTTGGTGGGGGCGGAAACCTTTCTTGACCACCCTCCTATTCTAGAAGCCCTTTCTCTCATGCCAGGGGAACAAAGACGTCGTGCATACCTCTGCTGTACCCCCAAATACTTGGATCTATTTTCTTTGGGCCCTCAGGTTCCACCTCATGCTTCAGCCCCATTCTCTACCATAGATGTTTCCTCTGGGACCGTGCTGGAAGTCCCACCACACACCTGTGTGAAAGTCTGAGGTCTCTCCCCCAGCCCCTGGACACCAGGGTCAAACCCCATTTGATCCCCGCACCCTGGATCTACCCCGCATCTAGACAGAGCCACCCGAGGGCATGGCTTACACACTGTACCAATGACACACAAGGATTACGCCTATAATCCTGGCTCCCGAGGTAGCTGAGAGATGAGGATTCCAGAGACTTTTAGTTCCAATGAACCAGAAAAAAAGGCAAAAGTGTAGGTGTGACTCAAGTGGTAGAGCACCTGCCTTGAGCACAAAAGATGAGCAAGAGTGTGAGGCCCTGAGATCATATCCCACTACTGTCACGATCAGTATGTAGCTAGGAGAAAGAGACAGAGATAGAGACAGAGACAGAGAGACAGAGACATAGACAGAGAGACAGAGACAGAGAGATAGAAACAGAGAGACAGAGACAGAGAGACAGAGGCTGAGACAGAGACAGAGAGACAGAGAGAGAGACAGAGAGAGAGACAGAGAGACAGAGGCAGAAAGACAGAGACAGAGACAGAGAGACAGAGAGACAGAGGCTGAGACAGAGACAGAGAGACAGAGGCAAAAAGACAGAGACAGAGAGATAGAGACAGAGAGACAGAGACAGAGGCTGAGACAGAGACAGAGACAGAGAGATAGACAGAGACAGAGAGACAGAGAGATAGAGACAGAGACAGAGAGACAGAGAGAGACAGAGAGACAGACAGAGGCAAAAAGACAGACAGACAGAGAGATAGAGACAGAGAGAGACAGAGAGACAGAGACAGAGAGACAGAGAGACAGGCTGAGACAGAGACAGAGACAGAGTGACAAGACAGAGAGAGAGAGACAGAGGCTGAGACAGAGACAGACAGAGAGACAGAGGCAAAAAGACAGAGACAGAGAGATAGAGACAGAGACAGAGAGACAGAGAGAGACAGAGAGACAGAGACAGAAAGACAGAGAGACAGAGGCAAAAAGACAGACAGACAGAGATAGAAACAGAGAGAGACAGAGAGACAGAGACAGAGGCTGAGACAGAGACAGAGACAGAGGCTGAGACAGAGACAGAGACAGAGAGATAGACAGAGACAGAGAGATAGAGACAGAGACAGAGAGAGGCAGTAATGTAAGTCAATATTTTCAGGCTTCTTCCTTCCATGGCTCCTTTCTCTTTCCCATGTTTCTGAAGCAGTCTTACATTGGTGTCAACGACTCTCCCCCATAGGCCAAAGAGAGAGAGCTGGTGAAGGACAGAGAAAGGAGGTGGATTCAGGGCAGCCGGGGGCCGACAGCACCTGAGGACGTCTTCAGCGTCTTCAGGGTGCAGACACGGGCTTCAGGTTCAACAGGGAGAATTGGGGGTGGGGCGGGGGGACTGGGTGGGAAAGGTGTGCAGAGTGACCATCGCAGTCTTTGATGCAGCCTTTGTCCTGGGAGGAGATCTGTGGGATCGCTGTCCTTGATTCCCAGGATGGAGCAGGAGCTAGATGAGCTCCTGAGTTTGGGCTGTTTGCTTTGAGATGCTCAGGAGGCATGGCTTGTAAGGGGAAGTTTGCCTGCCACAGGAGATGCTGCTCCTAGAATTTGTGTAGCTTGTGAAATAGCAAAGGGGCTGCAGCAGAGGTCATCTCAGATCGCAGGAGGCAGGTACGAAGTCGGGGGCCTTCTAGTTAACTCAGGCCCCAGCAAGGGCATCTCTTAGGTTTTCCTCTGATATTTCTGCATGTTCTTTTGCTTTTTGGGGGGGGAGGGGGGAAGGATGTATACTGGTTTCCTCCGATGTGAGCCATGTCTCTTGTCAGCAGCAAAGGCAAGAGTGAGCCCAATGAAAGTCAGAACCCGCAGAGGAGCCGCAGGCCACCATGAGCCCAGTGAAGCAGCTGTCAAGCCAGCTGGCCGAGCTCAAGGAGCAGGGGTGGAGTGAGTGAGGGGCTTGGGCACCAGGGGCCGAGCCTCCCGTGGGGGCCGGGCCTCCGGTGGGGGCCGGGCCTCTGGTGGGGAGCCAGGGAGAGGAGACTCCCCCACCTTGCACCAGGGGCCCGGGAGGTCCAGGAGGCTTGATGGCATCTCTGAGGATTCTAAGTTACACCAAAGAAACCACCGGTGGCTCACCCTGAAATCCAGATTATTCAGGAGGCTGAGATTGGAGGATGGAGGTTCTAAGCCTGCCTGTGCAGGAAAGTCTGTGAGACTCTTATCTCCAGTTAATCTCACAAAAACAAAGCCAGACGTGGAGCTGTGGCTCGGGTGGTAGAGCGCTAGTCTTCAGCACGAAAGCTCAGTGGCGGCGCTCAGGCCCTGAATGCCCTGTGTCTTTTCCTCCCCAGATGACAGAACAAAGGGAGAACAAGCAGAGGCTTCCTGGGCTGCCACATCCCCACGGGAGCCGTCCCTTGTCCCCACGCTGAACGCAGGGGTACAGCGTGACTGGCCTCTCTCATTGGGGTCCTTTCCCCTCTCTGAAAAGAAGACTTGAAAGGAGGAGCTGAACGGTGCCTATTGTTTACAAAGTGGCTGAGCTCCAAGAACGACTGGTAACTGGCTTTTCATGGTGGAGAAGCAGCAGCCAAAAAGACAAGCAGCTTGAACACAGCTCACACGCTCAGTGCAAGTGGGGGCCACCTGCTCCCAGGGCCATGGAGGGTGGAGGAGCCAAGCGGCCGAAGGCTCGGGGATGGCAGAAACACTGTCTGCTGGATCCACGGGTGACATCTCGACTGAACTACAGACAGCACTGCGTGGCTGGAATTTCTTTCTTTTCATCGTGGTCTGAGGAAGAAACTTTGGTGGCCACGTTTTGCTAAGGCAAATCACTGGATGGCTTCAAAAGGAGACTCTTGGAGAAAGGGTTCAGCTGGCCAGGTGCTGGTGGCTCACGCCTGAATCTCAGCTGGAATATGACGGCTTTTGTCCGAATATCAATGAATTGTTAGAGCTCAGCACAAAAGGGGATCTTCATGTAACTTGTTAAGAACGGGTTTTAAGGCAGGTTCAGGTGAAGACTGCAAAAGACTTGCAGGAAAGAGGCTACTAATAATCCCCAGGCAAGAATTCTAAAAGAGTGTGTATCTATTAAAATATACTGAAGCTGGACCTTGTGGCCCATCCCAGAATTCCTAATTTCACAGTGGACTGAGATCTAACTATCACAGTCCAAAGCCAGCACAAGCAAGAAAGTCCATGAGATTCTCATCCTCAGGGAACTGGCAAAATGCTAGGAGTTAGGCTGTGGCTTAATTGATAGATAGAGGGCCAATCTTGAGGGAAAATGCTCAGCAACAGTGCCCAGGCTTTGAGTTTGGTCCCTAATACTGACACACAAAAATGTATATATAATATTAAGATTAATTATTGGGAATGTTTCAAGATGACCTGGAATATTGAAAAGTTAGGATGGTGGACTTCCTTGTCTGTTTTTTTTTTTTTTTTTTGGTTCAGTCCTGAGCCTTGAACTCTGGGCCTGGGTGCTGTCCCTCAGCTCTTCAGCTCCAGGCAAGTGCTCTACCACTTGAGCTACAGTGCCACATCCGATTTTCTGGTGGTTAATTGAAGATAAGAGTCTCACAGACTTTCCTGCCCAAGCTGGCTTTGAACTGTGTGATCCTCAGGTCTTAGCCTCCTGAGTAGCTAGGATGACAGGCATGAGCCACCAGCGTCCGCCTGAGTAGCTAGGATGACAGGCATGAGCCACCAGCGTCCGGCTTTTCCTTGCCTTTTATAAGCATGGAATAAATACAATTTGACTCATGATCATTGTGCTTAAGTAACTGTTTTTATTTATCTTCCTGTGGTTCAGGGCAAAGGAACGCAAGAAATTCATTAACTTCACAAGAAAAGGCAGCATTGCAATTGAATATCTAAAAACATTCAAAATGGCCACTGATGGCACACACCCATAACCCGAGCTACTCAGAAGGCTGAGATCTGAGGATTGAGGTTCAAAGCAGCCTTAGCAGAAAAGTCCATGGGATTCTCATCTCCAATGAACCACCAAGAGCCACGAGTAGAGCTATGGCTCCAGTGGTAGAACATCGGCCTTTAGTATAAAAAGCTAAGGGCAGCACCTAAATGCTGTTCATGTCCAGTACACGTGTGATGTGTGCACATGCATGCTCTCTCTCTCATACATACACTATATATATATATGTATATATATACATATATATATTCAGAAAGATCCTAGTCTTGTCCTCAAATTGTCTTTAGTTGATTCAGGCAACGAGAGCTTGGTAAGGGAGAAATATCCTGGCACAGTGGGATTATTTGGAAGATGAGCATATTATTATAATGCAAGAATATTAAAGAAAGGCTTTGTGGGCAGAGACCATGGCTATTGACACTCAGAGTGGCTGTACACACTGCCCCTGCAGTGGTCTCCATACTCTCCGTTACTGCCCCAGAGTGCTGGGCGGATTTTGCTGTGAAAACCTTCAAGCTTTTGAGTTGTTTGGCTGTTGTTTTGAGAGCTCAGGAGAGAGGTGCCCAACGACACAGACAGAGCAGACAGGCCAGGGAGACCTTCCTATGTGAGCATCCAGTTGCCATCCAGCCCCAGGCTAGAGAATTGACACTTGTTCTGAGGCTGCAGAAATGAGTACAGATCTGGACCTTCTGGGTTGTCCTTTTGTCTTCCAAACATGTGCCAACCCAGCCCAAACTTAGGCAAATCCCTCAGCATGGATGGTCCCAGGGCACTGGCACTGGCAGCTCCCCAGAAGGAGAGGATAGAGTCATCTCAAATGGCCCAGCCTGGCTGTGTGGCTCAGGAGGTTCAGCCCTTGTGATCCTCTCCTAAGAATATCCTCCTTTGTTCTCACTGGATGGATATTTGCAGTGCTGTTTAATTAATCTTGTCTTTTACTGTCCATTGGGTTCACTTGTAGATTTACAGGCATATTCTAATGATTACAAATGAGGGACACCATGCAGCCTATGTTTCTTGGGTCTGTTCTACTTCACTTAGTATAATTTTCTCCAAGTCTCTCCATTTCTGCATGAATGGTGAAATGTCGTTCTTTCTGGAGGAATCATATAATTCCATTGAGGGCATCTGGATTGATTCCCTGTCTTATCTGGGCAAACCATGCTGCAGTGAACATGCTTGTGCTGGTGGCTTCAGTGTGTTCTGGTTTGTGGTCCTTTGCATAAATACCTAGGACTGAGGTGCTGGGTCAGAGGGAAGTTTTATGTTTAGCTGTGTGTGGAACCTCCATACTACTTTCCTGAGTAGCTGAACAAGTTTACATTCCCACCAATATTTGTAGTACCGTTCCCTTTTGGTGACATTCCCTCTGTCATGTGTTATTTTTAGCTTTTTTTTTTTTTATCATGGCCATTCTAACTGGGATGAGGTAGAATCTCAAAATTGTTTTGATTTGCAATTCTTTTATGACCAGGGACATGGAACATCTCTTCATGTGTCTACTGGCCATTCTTATTTCTTCTTCAGGGAAGTCTATAAGTCTCTAGCCCACATACTAATTGGGTTGTCATTTATTTGAGGTTTTGTTTTGATGGGTTTAATTTCTGAGCTCTAATTATGTTTTAGATATAAGGTTCTTGTCTGATGCACAGCTAGTAAAGATCTTATCCCATTCTGTGGGCTATTTGTCTTGCTAGCTGTGTCCTTTGCCATGAAGAAACTCTTCAATTTATACAATTCCATTTATCTAGTTTTTCTTTTATTTTTAGGATTCGGGATCTTTACTCTGGAAGTTTCTACAATGTCAAGGAGCCCTAATGTTTCCCATATCCCTTCCTCTTGTATTTTCAGGGTATCTGCTCTTCCACTGATTTTTTTTATCCAGTTGGAATTGATTCTGGTGCAGGATGATATAGAATGAAATCACTTCAGTTTTCTCTATGTGCATGGCCAATTTTGCCAGCACTGTTTCATTCCTCTGTTTTTGGCTCCCTTATCATATGTAAGGTGGCTATAGGTCTGAGGTCCATTTATGGGTCATGTCTTCCTTTGGTCCTCAGGCCTATTCTGGTGCCAGTATCACACTGTTTTATTGCTATGCATTTATAATAGAGTTTGAAGCTTGGTTTTAATATTCCACCAGCACTGTTCTTCCTGCTGAGGATTGCTTTGGTATCCAATATCTTCTATTACTCCACATGAATGTTTGGATTGCATCTTCTATATCATGAAAGAATGTCATAGGGATTTTGATGGGTATTGCATTGAATTTGTAGATCTTTTTGCAGTATTGCCATTTTCCCAATGTTAATCCCCCAATCCAGGAACATAGGAAGTTTTTCCAGTTCCTTCAATCTGCTTTAATTTCCTTTTCAAAGTTTTTTTAATTTCATCATAGAGGTTCTTCGTATCTTTAAATCAATTGTTCTGTTGGGTTTTTTTTATGTTATTGCAAATGGAATTGCTTTCCTGAATTTGGTCTTGCTCTCCTCGTGGTTGGCATAAAAAATACTACTGGTTTTTGATGATTAATTTTACACCCTGCCACTTTGTCAAAATTTCAAATTAGTTGCTGTAACTTTGGTTAGGAATTTATGAGGTTCTTTTTCCCTATTTGTATTCCCTTTATGTTTGTGTTTTTCCTTATTGCTCTGGCTAGGAATTTCAATATTATATTGTTGAGGAGTGGAGAGAGAAGACATCCCTTTCTTGTTCCTGATTTTAAATGGAATGCTTTTCACTGATCACCATTGAATCTAATGCTGGCAGTAGGTTTGTCATATTCAGCCTTTGTTATATTAAGGAATGTTCTATGGATTCCTAGCTTCTCCAGTGGACCAGCAAAAAGCTGGAAGAGGAGTTGTGGCTCAAGAAGTAGAGTGGGGGCTGGGAAGGTGGCTCAGTGGTAGAGCGCTTGCCTTGCATGCCTGAGACCCTGAGTTCGATTCCTCAGCACCACATAAGCAAAAAGAAAAAAAAACGGAAGTGGCGCTGTGGCTCAGGTGGTAGAGCGCTAGCCTTGAGCTGAAGAGCTGAGGGACAGCACTCAGGCCCAGAGTTTAGACCGGACCCAAAAAAAAAAAAAAAGTAGAGTGGGAGCTGCGAGTTAGAAAGCTGAGGAATTACTTCTGCCTCCATGCTGGTCCCGCCCCCCCACCTTTCCCTGTGTAATTTGGCTTAACACGAGTCCCCTCCTCTTTTATTATTTTTCCTTCCCCTCTCTCCTTCCATCCTGTGTGGGCTCACAGTTTGCTGTCCCTCCAAATAAACTCTTTTCTGCCTGGACCACGTGGTGGTTTCTTTTCAGCGAACCTTACATCAAGAAGTATAGACATTCAGTTCACAGGACTGAATAAGTCTGGCAGGGAATGAGACAACTCCTCCAGAGCTGGTTGGCCACTGTATGACTCCAATAAAGATTAGAAGTGACAAGATTGCATGTAGGACAATTAAACTCAAGACAGAAAGTGACTGCAATGTGTCAGCTTCATTTGTAGGTATTTACTGGTGAGAACTAATTAACACACAAATAAAACCACGCAGATCTGCAGTTTAATGAGAAGTACATATCCATCAAAAAGTATAGTGCACCTCGGCACTCCTGCAGCACATTTCTGTAATCCCAGAGACTCAGGAGGCTGAGAACTAAGGACCACAGTTTGAAACTCCAGGAAGCTGATACTTGTAAAAGAACTTTATTCCCGATTAACCATCGAAAAAAACAGATGCGGTAGTGTGGCTCAAGTGGTAGAGCACTAGCCTTGAGCAGAAAAGGCTAAGCAAGATTGTGAGACCCTGAATACTAAAACCAAAAGAAAGGAAATTAAGAGTAGAGGAATCTATTAACTTCGCACATGATCTGTATATTATGAGAATTAAAACATATAACAAAGGTGTTGCTTATATATGGTGCTTGGTAAATAAGAACTTGAATCAGGATCCAATCACACAGCTCTTTCTAGATTTGATGTGTATGATTTTAGCTGTGACAATGGCTTCTCCTGATAAGGAACTGCATAAACATGAGTAAAAGTTGGGAGTTTGTATGTTTGTGTAACAATGAAAGCCACCCACCCCTCACTTTGAGCAACTGATATATACTCATAAGAAGTATTTAAATAATACCTAAACGAACATAGTGACCCCCATGTCTCACATTTGTAAAGCAAGCTACTCAGGAGGCTGAGATCTGAGGATCGTGGTCCAAAGCCAGCCAGGGCAGGAACGTCCATGAGACTCTTACCTCCAATGAACCAGCAAAGAGCTAGAAGTGGATTGCTGGCCTGGAGCCTGGAGCCCAACAGCATCTAAGTCTTGTTTTTATGCCCCAAGACCCGCCCCCCCCCACACACACACCAGAAGTGTGGCAAACACCACACAGGAGAAAGTAGTCCCCCCCATCCCCATCCCCCCCACCAATCATCTATGGTCAGGGGTCAGCAGCTACAGAGCCATGGGACGCAAAGACAGCCATTCTCAGAGCTGTACATTTCTGCTCTTATGCCATCTCTGCTTTGGGCCCCTCTAACTGTCAAATGATGACCCATCGGCCCTAACATCTCTGAACAAATGAATACTGACAATCTAAAAGCACTCCCCACCCCCAATGCTCCCCGAGCAGCCTTTGGTACTTTCTAATCATCTCTATTGTATTAGTTGCTCCGCCACCATCCTCGAGGCAAAAGAAGGTAAAATGTCTCAGTGATGCTCTCAGACTATTATTACGAAGGGGAGTTCTCTTCCCACTCAGGCACTTTGCTCAGCTCCACTACGTAACCTACTTGCTACTTGCATTTACTTTTTGTTCCTCACTCCTTTTCCCTTCTTAATTTCCATCCTCAATAGGTAGTAGCACCAAACATCGGTTTATCTAATAGAGCAGGGTTTGCCAGCTGGAGGGGGTCACACACCGATAACAGCTTGATTCCTCGGCACCTTCACTACCAGTGCCCTGGATGGGTGCTCAGATATTCACAGGCTGTGTGTTGCGTAGCATTTTTAGAGTTTGTTTTGGTTTTTGGCTCTGGGCCAGTACTGAGAGCTGAACTCAGTAAGAAATCTTTCTGAGGCCCCATTTCACTGATGATGGTTAGATACTAGGTAATCATACCTTTCTGTTTGTACATTTTCGTAGGTGTGGGACCTGGCTGTTGTGTGTACATCTGGGTGGGCAGGAAGCGAATGTCACTTGTAGAAGAGCAAATGATGTGTGGCCTCTGTTCTCAAGGAAAGTTAGGTCAACTCTGAACTGGCTTTACATCCTGAGATTTGTCATCCCAAATACATTGGGATGTCTTTTGGCATTTGGTTTTGAATTCTTTCTCTAGCTTTTCCACAGACTTTGACCTTCGTATGTTTGAGGTTTGTTCCCTTGTTTTGTTGTGTTCTGTTGTGCTAGCCGTGGGGCTTGAACGCAAGGCCTTGGTGCTGTCCCTGAGCTTTCCTGATCTTATGCTTAAGCCCCAGGCCCACTTCTGGCTCTTTTGTAGGTTCACTAGAGGTCCTCCAAAGCTGGCTTTGAACTGTGATACTCAGATCTCAGATATCTGGAGTAGCTAGGATTCTAGGCAAGAACAGTACTTTCATTACATGGTTTTGAAAAATGAGCTCTACTTATGATTGATCGATACAGTAAATTATAGATAGTAAGGGATTGTCCCACATCTCAGGGGGTTGCTTATAACCATCAAGGAAAAGAAGATTGTTTTCCAGTTCTTTCCATGCCGGATACTCCAATTCCTGATAGTGTGTGCACAGGACACACATTGGGTACCTTCAGTCTCCATGATTTAGAGAATTTTTCATGATGGCTTTTGATGTTAAGCTCTAATTTTATTCCAATTTGATCTGAGAGAATGCAGGAAATAATTTCAACATTTCTGAATTTGCACAGATTTTCTTTAGAACCTAAAATATAATCCATTTTGTAAATTGCGTGTGCTTGTGAATAGAACGTGTATTCTGATGCTGCTGGGTGAGATACTCTATAGACATCTGTGAAGTCTACTTGGTCAATGAAGTTCTTTAGTTCTGAGTTTTCTCTGATTAATTTTTGCTGGGTTGATCTATTGAGAGATGACTTGATGTATTAAACTCACCAACAATCTGTTCACTTGTAACCACATGTGTTTTAGGGTAAAAAGTATCAGTTTGATGAGATTAGATGCTCCAGCATTTGGTGTATAGATGTTTAGAATTGTTATGTCCTGGGCTGGGAAGGTGGCTCAGTGGTAGAGTGCTTGCCTTGCATGTATGAGGCCCTGGGTTCGATTCCTCAGCACCACATAAGCAAAAAGAAAAAAGTCGGAAGTGGCGCTGTGGCTCAAGTGGTAAAGCGCTAGCCTTGAGCTGAAGAGCTGAGGGACAGCACCCAGGCCCAGAGTTTAGGCCCCACAACCAGACCACCCCCCCAAAAAAAAGAAGTTATGTCCTCCTGTAGGAGAGATCCATTTATTATATGTCACATCCTTCTTAGTCTCCTCTCCTAATTTTAATTTGAAGTCTATTTTTCTATCCGCTAGTGGTTTTGCTGTTCTGGCCTGTTTATGGGGCTCTTTGCTTGACAGATTTTATTCCAGCCTTTCAAATTCAGAATGTTTGCTTCCTTGGGCAATGTGTGCTTCTTGGTGACAGAAGATAGGTGGATCTTGCTTTAGGATCCGGTTAGTCAATCTATGTCATTTAATTAGGAGTTAAGTCTGTGAATATTGACAGGACTGAGAAGTGTTTGGTAATTTCTGCCATTTATCCATCTTCTTTGGGGCCACGCTTGTCTTTTCATACTGTGTTTATTTGGTTCTCTGGTAAACAGCTTTTTTTCTGCCAGTATAAAGCCTCTTATTTATAATAAACTCCCCAGAAAAGTGAGTAGTAATGTTGTGGCTCAAGTGGATCAGCACTACTTGACAATATGGAGGTAAGGGACAGCACCCAGGCTCAGAGTTAAAGTTCTAGGATGGACACAAGAAGAAACACAGAAGGAAGAAAGGAAGGAGGGAAGGAGGAAGGAAGGAATGAAGGAAGGAAGGAAGGAGGGAGGGAGGGAACGAGGGTAGGAAGGGAGAGAAGGAAGGGAGGAAAGGAGAGGAGGAAGGAAGGAAGGAAGGAAGGAAGGAAGGAAGGAAGGAAGGAAGGAAGGAAGGAAGGAAGGGAAGGAGGGAGAGAGGGAGGGAGGGAAGGAGGAAGGAGGGAGGGAGGGATGAAAAGAAAGGAGAGGAGAGGAGAAAGGGAGGGAGAGAGGGAGGGAGGGAAAGAAATCCAGAGAACAATTTCCTGATGTCTTGTGGAGGTTATAACTTCGGGTGACTTCTCTCCTTGCATGCTTTGCAGTGGAACATCTGTGGGAATGTCTGGAGGGATTAAGGAATAACAGTGGGAAGTCATTTTGGTAAAGTGTGATTTACATTTCAAAGAGAAGCTGGGCTGTGTGGGACAGGACTTTAATCCTATCATTTTTTGGTTAAACTCAACGTTTGAATTAATCTCAAGTGCAACACTCAACCAAGGTGTGCAGGGTGTGACTCAGAAATCCCATCAGAAGCTGCTCTCTGATTGGCAGGTATGCATGGTGAGGCTGGGGTTGGGCTTTAAAGATGCCTAGGGATGGAGAACAGAAGCAGAGTTCTGAATCCTGCAGTCAGTGCCTGGCCCTGCTGGGACTCAGAGAGCCCTGCACACCTGGCCCACATCTGGACCATCAAGATGAGCATCAGTACCCCACCCTCACTCCAGCATCTGGCCATGCAGAGTCTGCTGGGCAACCAGGCCCTGGCCATCTCTGCCCTGGATGATGTGCCAGTGTTGCTGTTCCCTTCGCTCTTCATAGAGGTCTATGCTCAGGGCCACACAGAGGTGCTGAAGGCCCTGGTGCAGGCCTGGCCCTTCCCCTGCCTCCCCCTGGGGGACCTGGCAGAGTCTCCAGATCTGCAAACCTTCAACGCTGTCCTGGATGGGCTCGATCTGCTACTGGCCAAGAAGGAGCGCCCCAGTCAGTGGAAACTGCAAGTCCTCGACCTGCGGAAGGAGCACCCCAACATCTGGATACAGGGCTACCCCTCCATGGCCCGACTATCTTGTCCGCATGTCCTGACTGACAAGCCAACAGTGAGTCACTGCTCAGGGATGACTGAAGAGCAGCCCTTGACCATAGCCATGGACCTGACCATCAAAGATGGCGCCCAGGATGCTCTCCAAGCCCACCTGCTCCACTGGGCCAGGGAGAGGAGAGGAGTCCAACTGTGCCTGAGGAAGCTGCAGGTTCTCTGTGACTCCATCTCTGAAATCCAGAAGGCTCTGCGTGTGGTGAGACTGGACTCCATCCAGGAGCTGGCAGTGGGTGAATGCTGGTGTCCAAGAACCTTTGGGAAACTTACTCCATACCTGGGCCAGATGAAGAACCTACACATCCTCAAATTCTCCAGGCTGCGTGGCAACTTCCACATGTTGAGCCCCAAGCATTTGTGGTTTTCCTCCAAATTGGGGGAGCAGCTGGGGCAGCTGGGGCATCTCCAGGAGCTGTATGTGCACGGCATTTGCTTCCTTAGTGGACAGCTGTCCGCCATCCTCAGGAGCCTGCTGCATTTGGAGACCTTGTCTCTGAGTTCGTGTCGGTTGAATGAAGCTGACCTGAGGTTCCTGTCCCAGCATCCCTGCTCCAGGCAGCTCAAGCACCTGCAGCTGAGGCGTTTGTTGATGGACAACTTCAGTCCTGAGCCCCTGAGCGCCCTCCTGGAGCACGTGGCCAGCACCCTGGAGACCCTGGCCCTGGAGGCCTGTTGCATCATGGATCCCCAGCTCTCGGCCATCCTGCCCGCCCTGAGCCAGTGCAACCAGCTCCGCGTCTTCAGCTTCTATGGAAACCACATCTCCCTGGCCGCCCTGCACAGCCTCCTGAGCCGCACGGCCAGGCTGGGCCATTTGAGAAGGGGGCTCTACCCTGCCCCTCTGGAGAGCTACAACCCTCAGGAATGGTGGCTACGGAACATCGACCCTGAGAGATTTGCCCAGGTTCAGGCTGGGTTGGCACTGGCATTAAGAGACACGGGAACCACCCAGACGGTCCAGATCTGTACCAGTTTCTGTCATTACCAGAACACATGTCAATTTTACAGCCTGGGGCTAGATGGTTCCTGGGTGGTCACAGAGGAGGGTCTTCCTGGCCTTTCTGCTCTGCCTGTGTAGGAGGGTGCCTCCCTGCTGGAATCTCTTCTCAGCATCAGGAATGAAGGCCAGGACAAGCGCATTGTCTAAGAGGCACAAACTGGAATGTTCAATGTGGGTGGAAGAGACAGGCTGTCTGGTCCTGAGCTTTTCAGTTCAATCATAGCTCTGGAGCCCCAGGACTTTCTGAGTTCTTTTATGGTACATGTGTCCTGTGCATACACCATCAGGATCTGGAGTGAATTCATCTGGAAAGAAGTGAAATATGACCTTGTTTTGCTTTCTGATTGTAAGCAAAACTCTAAGTTGTGGGACAATCCTTACTCTGTATAACTTACTGTATCAATCAATAAATAAATAAAAATAAAAAGAATGGAAAAGCATGAGTAGAAAGATATCAGTTCTTTTTTGTTGTTGTTGTTGGTTGTGGAGCTTGAATTCTGGGCTTGGGCACTGTGCTTGTGCTCTTCAGGCCAACACTAGCACTTTACCACTTGAGTCACAGCACCACTTCCGGTTTTCCAGTGGTTTATTGGAGATAAGAGTTTCACGGACTTTCCTGCCGGGGCTGGCTTTGAATCACGATGCTCAGATCTCAGCCTCCTGAGAAGCTGGAAGGACAGTTCTGAGCCACCTGCACCAGGCTAAGATATCAACTCTTAACACAAAGAATGACAATATTGTTTGTGGCTAGAATCCTGGCCACTCAGCAAGTCTGAGGTCTGAGGGTTACAATTGAAAGCCAGCCTGAGCAGGAAAGTCTTTGAGACCCTCATCTGTAGTGAACCTCCAAGAAAACTGAAGTAGAGTGGTAACTCAAAGCAGGAGAATGCTGGCATTGAGCACAAAAACTCAGGGACAACACCTATTTGTTATGTCAGAACCGGCACAAACAAACACAAATAAACCTATGACCACGTTAAAACAGACATAGATCAAATTCTGAGGAAAAGGTATGAGGGAAATTTCAACATCAAATGCCAAATGACATCCCATGAAAGCAAGAGAACTCTATTTCTGCAACTTATTTGGGGATGAGAATTCTCAGTAGTTAAAGCTGTAGTGGTTGAGATCTGATCAAATGGGTCTTCAAAATGAAAACCACAGTTCCTTTGCACTTATATAAAAAAAATATTGACTTCCTGGCCACCCAAGCACACCAAAAAAAATTCAAAAGTAAAAGCACAAAATAAATATTCATACCAGGCTCCAGAGTCCCATGCCTGTAATTCTAATCAGGAGGCTGAGATTTGAATATCTCAGTTAGAAGCCAGTCAGGCAGGAACGTGTATGAATATTATCTCCAAGGAATTCCTGAGAGAACATTCTAGGATTCCTGGAATCCTGGCTACTCAGGAAGTCTGTGATCTGAGGGTCATAGTTCAAACACAAACTGGGCCAAAAATGTATGAGACTTTCTAGGATTTGGTAATTAGTGTTATGGCGCAAGTGGTAGAACACTAGCCTTGACAAAAAGCAACTCAAATATAGCCACTAGCCCCTGAGTTCAAGTCCCAGCTAAGCACAAAACAAAATAGAAAGGAAGGAAGAAGGGAAGGAAGGATGGCATTCAGGAAGGAAAGGAGGAAGAGAGGGAAAGAGGAAGGAAGGGAAGGAAGGAGAGAGAGAGGGAGAGAGGGAGGAAGGGAGGGAGGGAGGGAGGGAGGGAGGGAGGGAGGGAGGAAGGAAGGAAGGAAGGAAGGAAGGAAGGAAGGAAGGAAGGAAGGAAGGAAGGAAGGAAGGAAGGAAAAGGAATACAAAGAATTCCTTGGTTTCTTTGTGGACGGTGTAAAGTTGAGCTGGCTGCTCTTCTTGGGTTCTTTGCAGGCTCTGGGCAGTGTGCCGTCTTGGGAATGTCTTGCAGAATTAGATGGGATGTCTTTTGGGTTCAGTGTGTTTGAAAGAGAAGCTGGGTTGTGTCACTGAGGCTTTGGGGGTACATGTGTCCTGTGCACACACCATCAGGAATCTGGATAGAATTCAGCCTGGAAAGAACTGGAACACCATCTTGTTTTTCTAAATGATTGCATGCAAACCCTCAAGTCCTGAGGCAGCCCTCACTGTCTACAATTTACTGTATAATGAGCCAGTCGATTCATTTTAAAATGAAAGAAAGGAAAAGAGGAAGTGGAAAGATATCACTTCTCAGCACCACAGAATGAGAGTATTACTTCCATGCAGAATCCTAGCCATTCAGCAAGTCTGAGATCTGAGGATCACAGTTCAAAGCCAGCTTGGGTAGGAAAGGCCTTGAGACTATCATCTCTGGTGAACCTCCAAAAGAGCCCAAAGTGGGTCTGTGGCTCAGGTCGTACTGGCTTTGAGTGGGGAAAGCTCAGGGACATCATCCAGGTCCGAGTGCAAGCACTACAGCTTTCACCACACAATCCAAGAAACCAAACAAGAAAAATGACCATGACCAACCTCAACCATACATAGATCAACTTTTGTAGAAAAGCTAGGGGAAAAAATTCAAAACCAGATGCCAGAAGGCATTCAACGAAAGCAAGGGACTCTTTCTGCTTCACCAACATATTTGGGATGACACATTTCAGTATATAATGCCAGATCAGGTTTGATCAATCGTGCCTTGAGAATGCAGGCACTTCCTGCTCATCCAGGCACACATCAAAAGAGAGAGAGAGAGATAGAGGGGGGGAAGGAGAGGTGGGGAGAGAGAGACAGAGACAGAGAGACAGAGAGAGGGTAAAAGAAAGGAAGGAAGAAAAGAAGAAAGGAAGAAAGATAACCTTCACACTGGGATCCAGTAGATCCTGCCTGCAATTGTACTACTGAACTGGCTGAGATCATAGGATCTCGTAGGGCACCAGTGGCTCACTCCTGTCATCCCAGGTCCTCAGGAGGCTGTAATCTAAGGATCAAGGTTCAAAGCCCTCCTGGGCAGGAGACTCTTATCTCCAATTAATCTTTAAAAAAAAAAAAAGCCAGACGTGGAGCTGTGGCTCGGGTGGTAGAGCGCTAGTCTTCAGCACAAAAGCTCAGTCACAGGACCCAGGCCCTGAATGCCGTGTCTTTTCCTCCCCAGATGTCAGAACAAAGGGAGAACAAGCAGAGGCTTCCTGGGCTGCCACATCCCCACGGGAGCCGTCCCTTGTCCCCACGCTGAACGCAGGGGGACAGCGTGACTGGCCTCTCTCATTGGGGTCCTTTCTCCTCTCTGAAAAGAAGACTTGAAAGGAGGAGCAGAACGGTGCCTATTGTTTACAAAGTGGCTGAGCTCCAAGAACGACTGGTAACTGGCTTTTCATGGTGGAGAAGCAGCAGCTAAAAGGACAAGCAGCTTGAACACAGCTCACGCGCTCAGTGCAAGTGGGGGCCACCTGCTCCCAGGGCCATGGAGGGTGGAGGAGCCAAGCGGCTGGAGGCTCGGGGATGGCAGAAACACTGTCTGCTGGATCCACGGGCGACGTCTTGACTGAAATACAGACAGCACTGCATGGCTGGAATTTCTTCCCTTTCATTGTGGTCGGGGAAGAAACTTTGCTAAGGCAAATAAGTAACTGGATGGCTTCAAAATGAGACTCACAGAGAAGGTGTTTAGCTGGCCAGGTGCCGGAGGCTCACACTGTTTAGGAGGCTGAGATCTGAGGATGGAGGATCCAAGCCAACTCGGGAAGACAAATTCCTTGGACCCTTACCTCCAACCAGCCATCACAAAGCTGGAAGTAAAGTTGTGGCTCAAGGAGTAGAGAACCAACCTTAAGGGGAAATGCTAATAAGGGACAGCAATCAGGCCTTGAATTCAAGCCCCAGCAGAGAGAGAGATAGAGAGAGAGACAGAAAGACAGAGAGACAGAGACAGAGGCAGAGACAGAGAAAGTAAATGCTTCCATGGGTTTTACTGGTCTTTATTTATAACCTGATACATAACTCTGAGAACTTAGCACATTGGTACATAGCTACTCAAGCTCACCGCAGAACTGGAAGGAGACTGCTTTTGCCAGAAAGCAAATGATTTCTGTTCAGGCTCAGCACAAAAGGCAAGTCTCATGTACTTCGTTAACAACAGGGTTTAAGGCGGGAACAGGTGAAGACGTAAAAGACTGGCTGCTAATATAATCCCCAGGCAAGAATTCTTTAAGAGAGCATGCATCTATTAAAATATACCAGAGCTGCGTCTGATAGCTCATGCCTGTAACCCCAGCTTCTCAGGGGCCTGAGATCTAAAGATCACAGTTCATAGCCAACACAAGCAAGAAAGTTCATCAGAGTCTTACTTTCAGTGAACCAGCAAAATGCTAGAAGTGGAGCTGTGGCTCAAGTGGTAGAGGACCAATCTTGAGTGAAAAAGCTCAAGACAGCATCCAGTCCTTGAGTTCAGTCCCCAATAGTGGTACACACACACACACACACACACACACACACACACACACACACAAATGTATATTAGTGGGGTTAATTAGTGGGAATGCTTCAAAGTGAAATTAAATATTGAGAAAGTTATGAAGGTGGGCTTCCTTGCCTTTTCTAAACGTGGAATAAACACAATTTGACTCATGACTGTGGTTTAGCACAAAAAGCTGAAGGGCAGCCCCTAAGCCCTGAGTTCAATTCCCAGTACCTGGGAAGGTAGGACAACCCCGCCCCCCTCTCAGCTAAGTCTCCACCCAGTACCTGTTGGAGACAGTCACCTCCCCCCTGGGTGGTCCCATCGCCATGGTTACTCATGGCCCAGCTGAGCGCTGAAGCACGTGCTGGTCAGGTGGTGAGTGGGGCCAGGCGATCAGCAATGGCTCAAGGAAACCCACTCCAGCTTCTGAACCTTGTTCTACCCACACGGGTCGAACATTAGCATGGGCTGGCGAGGCTCCTGACAGGTCCTATCAGAAAGGACTGAAGCTAGTGGATGGTGAAGAGAGAGACAGAGAGACCAGAGGAGCAGGGGGCAAACAGCATGTGTGCTTGTATGCAAGGCCAGATCTATGAGCTAGCCTGAAAGGACCTTACAGATACCCAGAAACAGGTGGGCAGAGTAACCTGCACAAGGGGCAAGAGACAGGCTATGGCCAGAGCAGAAAACCAGCTGTAAATTCATCTGTGGGTGCACCCGGGGTAACTCAACCTGGTTCCCGTGCGTGACCTTTTCTTTTCTTAGCTGTTTTTTTGACATTTTTATTGTTATGATGACGGTGATGGACAGAGGGTGACAGTGACGTAAATCAGGTCATGAGTACATTTCTTTTTGGACAGTGGCACCCATTCCCTAGCTCTCTTCCAGTTCTTCCCTCTCATCCCCACCCAGAAGTTGCAGAGTTCATTTTCCACATCCTGTCCCTCAATTTCTGGATTCCCCATTACCCCCCGAAAGACAGAGTTATAAATAAGCAAGACAAAAAGAAATCAATCAACCACTACCACAAAACTCCTCGTTTCTCTCCTGGAGTCCATTTAGATAAATATTATTTTATATGATCAGAAACACATATGCGCTGAGCCTTTGTGCTCCTCCCCTTGGGTCTCACTGTACGCGAATGTGTGCGGCCTTTTGAACAGGCCTGTTGCATTTCTTCATGTGTTTAAGGTTTTATCATTTTATTGCTTATAAGCACCTGTCTAAAGAGGTTTTGATTCCACCTACCAGTCTGTGAGCACAGGGCATCTTGATTAATGTTACCCCTTCCCTCTTTCTCCCTCATCTCTCTCCACCCCCACCCCCACCCCAATGTGCCTAGTTCTACCTTCACATATGCATGTTGAATACTGGAACTGTATTTCCCACCCTTCCTCTCTCCTTTGTCTGCGTCCCTTCCACCGGACCTCAACCTGTCTCTGGGCACCTCAGGTTCCAGCTCCCAGGTACTCATTTGCTAGACTGCAAGTTAGTTGTTCAAAGGACTTACATCACTGCAATCCTCCCCTGCACATCACACTTGAGTTAATACGTTCATGTACATGAGCATGGATATGTTGGGATTTTTTTGAGGATTAGCATCTAGTTTTCTTGGAATATCATTAACATGTGTGCATGTGCATGTGTGTGTGTGCGTGCGTTCATGTGTGCGTGTGCGTGCTGGTCCTGAGGCTTGAACTCAGGACATGAGCACTGTCCCTGGCATGAGCACTGTCCCTGGGCTTTTGTGTTCAAGGCTAGTGCTCTACTACTTGAACCACAGATTTACTTCCAGCTTTTTGGTGGTTTATTGGAGGTACCTTGATCTTCACATCTCAGCCTGTTGAATAGCTAGGATTACACGCATGCGCCACCAGTGCCTGGCTTTACTTAACTTTTATATTGAGCTTCACAAAATGAGTTTGGAAGTATTTCTTCCTTTTCCCATTTTTTGGGAGAGTATGCCAAAGATTGGCACTGATATTTTAAATATTTGATAGAACTCATCGATTAAACCATCTGGTCCTGGACCTTACGTTGTGTTGCTGTTGAGGGATTCCCAGCTTGATTCCTAGAGATTTGTATAGATTTCCTAATTCTTTATGGCATAGCCTTGGGAGATATGTTTCTAGAAACAAGCTTTCTAGCTTGTTCTATTTGATGGTTGGAATTTATACTCATATTTCTTGTTGTGTATGTGGCACTGGTTGCAGTTCTGACTTTGTTTGTTTGTTTATTTATGGGGCTGATCTGAGGGCTTGAACTCAGGCCCTGGGTGCTGTCTCAGGGCACTCGGGCTCAAAGCTAGCACTCTACAACTTGAATCATATCTCCACTTCCAGCTTTGGGGGTGATTAATTTAGATAAGAGATTCACAGACTTTCCTGTCCAGGCTGATTTTGAACCATGATCCTCAGATCATTTCTAATTTTTTCTTTAGGTATGTGTCCTGGGGCTTGAACTCAAGGCCTGGGACTGCTCCTGCCTTTAATTTTGCTCAAGCTATCATTCTTATGCTTGAGCCAAGCACCACTTTTGACTATTTTTGAGTAGTGTATTGGAGATAAGAGTCTCATGGGGGCTGGGAAGGTAGCTCAGTGGTAGAGTACTTGCCTTGCATGCTTGAGACCCTGGGTCTCGGAAGTGGCACTTTGGCTCAAGTGGTAGAGTGCTAGCCTTGAGCTGAAGAGCTGAGGGACAGCGCCCAGGCCCAGAGTTCAGGCCTCACGACCGGACCCAAAAAAAAAAAAAAAGAGTCTCATGGACTTTCCTGCTCTGTCTGGCTTTGAACCTTAGTTCCCAGTCACCTGAGTATTTAAGCTATTACATCTTGTCCTTTCTTAGCATGGCTGAAGATTTGCTAAGTGTTTAAACCGTCATACAGAGCTGACTCAGTTTCGCTTCACTTTTTTTTCTGTTCTTTTTAGTCTTTCTTGATAAAATTTTTCCTTCTAATATGTATTATTTCTATCTTTTGACTGTGGTTTTAGTTTTTCTTCTTTTTTAAAATTATTAAGATGGCTATGTACAGAGAGGTTGCAGTTATGTGAGTCAGGTAGTGAGAACATTTCTTTTTGGACAATGTCACCCTTTCTCACTCTCTTAGTTTTTCCCTCCCATCCCACAAGTTGCAAAGTTCATTTTTCACATAGTGCCCACTGAGGACCACAGCTGCATTTGTTCATCCTTTGTCTCTCTATTTCTGAGCCCCCCCCTCACCCTCCCAAAGGCAGATAAATGAACAATTACGACAAAAAGGAAGGAAAACAAAAATACCAAAAAGAAAAGAAACCTTGCTTTCACTTCCTGGCGTTCATGCAGACAGACATTATTTCATATGATCAGAAGCACATAGGAATTGCACCTTGTGTTCTTCCCCCAAGAGCATCCTCACCGCGTGTGAACTGTCCCTGAGCTTCTTCTGCTCAAGGCAGGCACTCTACCACTTGAGCCACAGTACCACTTCCAGCTTTTTCTGTTTATGTGGTACTGAGGAATTGAACTGTTAGCCCAATAGCCTCCTCTCTCATAGCTTAACATGCTCTTTCCCTAGGCAACCCTCGGCCCATTTAATAAAGTCAGTAAGTGGTTGGTCTCTACCCCCTAACAGCTATAACCACTGAAGACAACAAGATCTCCCAAACCTTGCAGGTTATAAAAGGTCGCCTGAGACAAAAGCTGGCACTTCTTCGCTCTTGTGAGGAAGGGGTCTTGCCCATCCTTTTACTGGCAATAAACCTTTTCTTTGTTTTTCGTACCTGGATTTCTGCATGGTTTTCTGGCAAAGTCTGGTCTACTCTAACATGAACGCAGGGCTTCGTGCATGCTAGGCAAGCACTCTACCTCTGAGTCACATTCCCAGCCTGGTGTCTAGTTCTTTACCTATCTAGTGAGGGCAAGGCAGGGGTCCTGGTAGAAACACTGTAAGACAAAAGATAACACAGGCTTGTATTATGTAAATTAATGCTCCCCAAAGAACATTGGAGAAAACAGGTACATATGAGTGGGAAAAGGGGTTCATTAAGGCTAAAGGCAGAAAGGAGAGTGTTAGTATTATGCTCACCTTTGGTCCTCAGCTCCGCCCAGCCCTGAGACCCTCCCAGCCCCGGGGCTCCCGCCCACCCTACAGCCCGCCCCTCCCTCTCTCCACCCAGACCCACCTGAGCTCCCACCGACCTCACCTCCTGCCCCCAGACCCTGCTGCTACCTGCATGGGGAACGGAGGCCATGGGCTCCCTCTCGGGGGACAGATGGCTCCTCTAATAAACCTTGTAACACTCTTTCTCCTGTGCCTGCCTGCCTCCCTGTGGTCCCCTGGGAGGGATGTGTGGGCTCCTCTTCCAGAGATTTCTAAGAGAATGGGTGAATAAGACCTCCTCAGAGATAAATAGCTACTCCTCACAGACCCAATCTTCCAGTAGTTCCACTGGAGGGTGGCATTAAATCGACCAAGGTGCTTTCTTGTTCCTAGTTCAAATCACGGCCGTGGGCACAGATCATCCTTGGCAGGTGTCTGTTCCCTTTTAAAAATCCAAACAAGGTTAGCAGTATGGGTAATGCTACACGGCTAAGGTTAACTAACCATGGTTTGGTGGAAGAACTGGCATTATGAAGAGAAACAATGGAAGATTCATTCATTAAGCAAATGTTAGCAAAGCACTCACCCTGTACTGCAACCACCCAGAAGAGCTGGCAATGGAGAGGAAAAGGATGAGGAGCAGAAGTCAAAATTATTTACCTATAAAAAGGACAGGAGCCTGGGTAAGCCTAGCTACTCAGGAGGCTGAAGACCAGTATTTGAGACCAGCCCAGGCAGAAAAGTCCATGTGACTTTTTATCTCCAAACAAGAACGTGGAAGTGGAGGTGTGGCTCCAGTGGTAGAGCGCCAGCCTTGAGTGAAAAAGCTCAGTGAAAGTGGTCCCAGTTCAAGAGGAGAAAGAAGATGGAGGCTGCTACAACGTTTGAGGAACCAGTTCTCACCATCACGCAATCCAAACGGCTTTAGCAGAGTCAGGAGTAACCAGCCTTGAACTCCAGGGTCTGTGCAGGGACAGGTAACCGATGCCCTATCTGTCTATCAGGAATGTATGCCGTTTCTAGCCAAGTAAGGAGACGGGGTCTAGGCAATTTCTCGCAGCCATCCTGGTGCCTTTTGCTGAGCAGAGGGAATTCTCCACCCAGTGCTGAAAAGCCTAGAGGTGAGAGAGGCCATTCATTGAATTCAGATGCCTAGCTCAAGGTGAGCTAAGACAGCTGTGCAGATGCTGCTCTGATCCTGCATTGATTAACTCCCCAGATGGCCTTGGGGCAGCCTCTAAGCAGACCCTCTGTGGAAAGTTAAGGCCTAGCTTCCCTAGATGGAAAAGTTCTGCTAGTACCTGAGTATGTCCAGGCCTGGCATCTTGTCTTCATGGTGAACGCCCCCCCCACCCCCCCCACACACACCTCAGGTGATGAGCACAGCCCTGGAGGTCCCTGAACCTGTGAGTTCAGTGCCTGGGACCAGCCGTGTCTGTGCCCCTGCCCCCTGGACTGGTCCTGCTTGGGCTCGGAACAGGACAGATGTCATATGCCATGCCATGCGCCTCTTGTGTTGAGTCCTGTGTCCTGTCCCCTGCCTCTTCTCCCCTCACCGTGGCG